CAGTATTACTGTGGGAGGTTCCTGGTTATATGTAACCTTGATTTCAGGGTCTCTATTTTTCCTAACCCAATGAGCAATAAAGTTCACCAGACAAATTATGAAATGAGACTGAGGTCAAAAAAAATATTGTCAATACCAAGGATAAAATTTAATTAGGATGTATGATGGTAGTGCAAGTTCTTACCTTGATGGTGTGAGCATCTGTAAGTTCTCCAATTGCATTTTTATATGTGACCTTTTTATCTCGGAGTTCTACTCTGTAACCCCAGTTAAGGGACCCAATGTGATTCTGGATGAAAAAAAAAAAAAAAAGAATAGTTAACAAAACTTACATCAAGTGTTAATGAAATGAAATCATGGCAGAATGTGGCAAAGGAAAATGATTAAATCATCTATATACCTGAACATTTTCTCTCATTGTGGCCCAGTTGTGACTAACTAAAAAAGTAAAAAGATAGAATAGCTTAAATAGAAGTTGTAGCTTAGAGGCCAACTAGAAAAAAAAGAGAAAAAAATGAGGGGAAAGAGTTCCAACCTTAAGCAAAAAGAGTCAAAGGAAAAGAAAAAACTGATGGAAAATCTTTAGCCCTTTCACTGCCATAAGTGACTACAGAGGGATTTCCTCTTTGGTCACTTGAGAGAAACATGATGAGAAAAAAAAATTAAATGCCTCCTAAGGGTCTTGTTTGAATGAATGCTATTCTCTTTGACTCCAAGGGGTAATGAACATCTAATTTCGCCTCACAAAGTCACCCATGAGTCACATTAAGATCAGAAGAATAAAGGAAATGATCACTAACTAAAGAAGCTCTTGATTGTTAAACAAATTCTCCTTGTCCGAACCTTTCAAAATACATAGAGAACAGTATGGAGAATATGCATGACTGATCTGAGGGTGTAAAGAGTAATTCTCAGAGCTACAAGTACATGAACAAAATTGTGAGAAATCTATGGATCAATATGGTTGGGAGGAGACCATGAGGAATCTACAGTACAGTATATTGAGGTCTTAGAGAGAAAAGGTCAGATAATAGCAAACAAAATTTCTATTCAGTCAACACTACTGCAGCATTTATGTAGTTACCTGTTGTATCAAAACTCCATCCATATTGCCTTGCATCATCCAAGTCATGTCCTAAGAGAGATTAAAATAATTCAGTGGATTATCTGAGAAGAAGCACAAGTCAATTATTGCAGACCTGATGTCACCAAGTATCTTTGCAATACTGCAGGTGCAGGCCTGTTGGGAGGAGGGGTGGGGGAGGTGTGTATGCAACCCAACCCCCCCCCCCCCCCCCCATGGGCTGGGAAAGTTCATTTTCTAGATACGGCTGATTTGAAAGAGATAAAGTGGTAGATTGTTCACCCAAATGCATTCAAAGGGTCTTGA